CTCTCTCTCTCTCTCTCACACACACACACACACACACACACACAGACAGACACACAGACACACACACACACAGACTCACACACACACACACACACACACACACACACACACACAAGCACGCAGCAGAGGAGCGAGAGAGAGATGAAGAGTGTGTGTTACCCGGGAGTCAGAGGAACAGAGCAGCATGCAAACACAGCATTCAGCTGTTGAGATTGAGACGACACAACAACAGCCGGAAACATACTCTACACTGCAATGCACTGCAGACGTAATAAACCTCAGCACTCAAACGGCTGGAGTTTCTGTAATTAAACTAAAAAACATTATTTTTTCTCACTTTCTTTTTTCTTTCTCTTTTTTAAATTATTTATATTTTTTCATTTTTAATTATTTGTATTTATTTTCTTATCTTACTTTTTATTTCCGTTTTCTTTTTTTTATTTATTTTTTCATTCTTTTTTTAATTATTTATTTTTTCTTTTTTTAATTTTATAATTTAATTTTATTACATTTTCTTTGTTTTCTTTCTTTTAAATTATTTAATTATATTCATTATCATACTTTTTCTTTCTTTTTTAATTATTTAAAAGCATTTTTCTTTTTTTAACTATTTAATTTAACTTTTTAATTATTTGCATTTATTTTATTATCTTACTTGTTATTTTTGTTTTCTTTTTTAATTATTTTTCTTTTTGTAATTTAAAAATGTTATTTTATTATATTTTCTTTGTTTTCTTTCTTTTTTAAATTATTTAAATATTATTTTAATTTTCCAATTATTTAAATTATTTTCTCTCTTTAAATAAATTTACTTAATTTCTTCATTTAATGTTATTTAATTATTTTCTTAGTTACATTTTCTTTTTAATAATTAGTTTTTCCTTTTTCATCGTTTCAGTTTATTTATTATCATACCTTTTAGTTTTTTTTATTATTTAAATGCATTTTTTCTAATTCATTTTACTTTATCTAACCTTTTCTTTCTTTTTTTTATTAAATTATTTTTTTTAATTTATTTATTTAATTTTATGTATTTATCCCTCATCTCTCTCATCAGATAAATCAGGACTAACGTCAGCTAACTTGCTTAGCAAGATTATCTACAAACTCCTGCTCAGAAAGAGAAGACCTTAGTATGTTTCAGGTTTTGTTCCGTGTGTGTGGGAGTGTTTGTGTTAGTACCTGTTGTGGTAAAGCTCTCGGACCTGAGGCAAACTAGAAAGAGAAAGCCACATGTACAGGTCAGAGGTCAAGATACCGAAGCAACACCAGTTTTAATTTAAAGCTGAAGTACTAAAACTAAAAGCAAAGCAAATTAATAAACTAAACAGACATAAAAAAATGACAAAAACAAACTAAAATGAAAATGAAAACAACATTTAAAATATTAATAATTATTAATAAATAAAAAAATACTATAACAGTATATTAATAATATTTCTTATTTTTTTTTATTATTTATTTTTATATATTTTATTATCATCCTTTAAAAAAAAAAACATTTTCTTGGAAAAAATTAAGAATGGACTAATTGTTTAACATTTGATTCCATCTTTAACAGTGTTTTATTGCAGGGTTTCCCAACAATATATTTTACTGGTCATAAAATTAAAATAATTTTAAAAATAAGAGCTCAAAATAAAACACTCACTAAAAAAGATTGGCCTGCATGTCATGTAATCATTTGAATGTGCTAAATTATTGAAATGAGTAAATATTTGAGCTCACAGATTTTGGGAATCTCTGCATTATGGGATACCTTAGTGTTTTATATCTTTATAAAATGTTATATTAAATGTGACATAAGCTGACTGGTTTGGTTCGTTATTGAAAATCCTGAAACGCCGATGGAGGAAATGAAGGGGCCAGTAACGCAGCAGGAAGTGATGCGTGTTTGGGCTGCTGTACCTGTCGGGGTTGGGCCGTGGGGTTCATCTGCGGCGGAGGAGCAGGAGGAAAACTGGGCTACAGAGACACACATGCATCATTTACATGAGAGATCCAGACGGAGCTTCTGTAAAAATGTCTGTCATTAAAGTAAACATTTTTTTTTTCCTACTTTCTTTTTTCTTTCTCTTTTTTAAATTATTTATATTTTTCTTTTTTAATTATTTAAATATATTTATTATCATACTTGTTCATTGTTTTTTTAACTATTTAATTTGAAATCATTTCTTTTTTAGTTATTTGTATTTATTTTATAATCTTACTTTTTCTTCCAATTTTTTAAATTATTATTATTTTTTAATTGTTTAATTGTATTTTATTATATTTTTCTTTCTTTTTTAATTATTTAAGTATTATTTTTATTTTTTAATTATTTAATTTTATTCTTTTTTAATTATTTAATTATATTTATTATCATACTTTTTCCATTCCTTTTTTAACTATTTAATTTAAAATAATTTATTTATTTTTTAATTATTTGTATTTATTTTATAATCTTACTTTTTCTTTCCATTTTCTTAATTATTTATTTAAATTGTTTAATTAAATTTTATTATCTTTTTCTTTCTTTTTTAATTATTTAAATATTATTTTTATTTTTAAATTATTTAATTGTATTTATTTTATTCTTTTTTTCCAAATAGATCACAATTACAGACGCACCGATACTGAACTTCTCAGCCGATAATTCAGAATGATATCTAATTATACCAGTACCAATAGTTCGGTTTTCTTAATGAAAAAATAACAAATGTCTCCCAACTAATGATGTAAACTATACACTGGTACATAATATTAGAGGTTAAAATGAACAACAACACTATTATATTCAATGCTATTTATTTTCAGATATAATAATCACACTCAAATAAAAACATTTGTATACAACTTAATTGCACATGAGGTAGTTTTCTTAAAAACTTGTCTTCATGACAGATTTATCCAAACATACATATATAATTACACGGCTTTGTGTTTGGTTAGCTAATAAAATATTAAAACTCTATTCAATATTTTGTTTAAAACATTATTTAATTATGTCATCCTGGTATCGCGTACTCGCTCTCTCATTCCATACACGATTGTTTTGGACACTGTAATTAGGGATGTAACGATTCACTCAACTCACGATTCGATTCACGATTTAGTTTTTACAAAATTAGATTTAAGACATATTATAAATTAAATGTGTCCTTTTATTATTGCTTGGACAAAATACTGTACGTTTCTTTGTGAAATTGAAATATAACACTATTTTCAACCGGCTCGCGGTTAATCGTTACATCCCTAACTGCAATGGATTATTAGATAACTAACCAACTGGTAAGATTTTAAAACATTTCCGTCTTAAATCAGTATCTTTCATCGCCATAATTATTTATGTGGTTAAATGTTGTGTAATAAGTGGTTTGACTGCACCGTATTTCTTAAATGTCCGTCTAGTTATTCTTCACGGAAGCTTCAAATCAATATTCCGTGTCTAATTATTTACTTAATATGTGGCAAGTAGCCGTGTAATTAACGGGATAATGTACATCCTGATGGTTGTTATCGCTGAATAACCCCTTTCAATATTTCTGAATATCCGTTACTTATGGACTCGTGTTTTAGTTAAAAACGTCTTAATGCTGGATGTGTTTCAGCTTTTGTCTTCTCCAGATGTTAACTGATGGGCTGGAGTGCTGTGGATTACTTGTGGATTATTGTGATGTTTTTATCAGCTGTTTGGACTCTCATTCTGACGGCACCCATTCACTGCAGAGCATCCATTGCTGAGACACTGATGCAGTGCTGCATTTCTCCAAATCTGATGAAGACACAAACTCATCCTAATCTTGGATGGCCTGAGGGAGAGTAATTTACAGAACCGGTGAACCGTTCCTTTAAGGTTTCAGCCTGATCTGATGATGTTCTCAGGTCTGTCGCTGGCGTTTGGTGTTTTTTGTAGTGGTCAAGTGGAAGATTGTTTGAATTAATTTTTAGATTCGATTCTGAGTTTTTAACATCAGATGGCGCTCTAGGCTAGTTTTTAACGCACACTTAAATGTTCACGAAGAAGAGAGTAATATAAGGGTGCGTTCACACTTGTAGTTCGGTTCTCTTGGTTTGTTTGGTTCGGACCAAAAAAAGAAAACAATACATGATAAGATTCCTGGTCCGCTTGCGTTCACACTGCCATTTTTGACAGCGAACCTAAAGGCACAGTGATACGTTCACAACCTGATTGGTTGGGTTGAATGACGTATATTTCGTGATGGAACACCCCAAACAAAAGGTGTGTTCGTTCACTTACGCAAACAAATAACGCTTCCTCCAGTGAAAAAGTGCATCTGCTGTTGTCTCTCTCATCAAAATCCAGCCACATATTAGTTTAGAGCTGTTTAAACGCTGCTTGATCTGTGCAGATTTCTCTCCTTATTCACACCAGAACACTTTTCACTGGAGGAAGCGTTATTATGGATTACGGACTCGTATTTTAGTTAAAAACATCTTAATGCTGGATTTGTTTCAGCTTTTGTCTTCTCCAGATGTTAACTGATGGACTGGAGTGCTGTGGATTACTTGTGGATTATTGTGATGTTTTTATCAGCTGTTTGGACTCTCATTCTGACGGCACCCATTCACTGCAGAGCATCCATTGCTGAGACACTGATGCACTGCTACATTTCTACAACAACCTCTAGATGTTAAAATCGGACCGTAAGACCCGTCAACGTCTTTCAAATGTGTTATTTCATTTAAAAATATCATCTAAATGCATCAGCATTATTTGCTTATTAACACACACACACAACTGAGTTACTTCAAGTGTTTATATATGCATGTTTGTCCATGACAAAATCAAACTGTATTACCACGGTAACATAATGAGATCAGACAGTAATACCATGGTACTGAATGATTATCCAATTCTGATTACATTGTGTGCCAATGCATTTACACCAAAAATAACTGCCAAAAATACCATAGTGCATCCATAAAACCATTGTAATTTGAATGCAACTGAATGAATGCATCATGCTATTTATATGACTTACAAATCAATAACAAAAATAGCATGGTTTTATAGACTATGTACCATGGAATTACCATATTTTCGGACATATACATTAATTGAAGTACTTGCATCCCAAAAATTACCATTGCATTACCATGGTACAAGAAAATACCATGTAACTTATATATACTCTGCCGTTCAAAAGTTTGGGATCAGTAAGATTCGTAATGTGTTTTAAAGAAGTCTCTTCTGCTCATCAAGGCTGCATTTATTTGATCAGAAATATAGAAAAAAAGTAAAATTGTGAAATATTATTGCAATTTAAAATAATGGTTTTCTATTTTAATATCTGTTAAACTGTAATTTATTTCTGTGATGAAACTGTTTTGCTGCTTAATTTGTTTTTTTTTTGGAACATGCGATACTTTTTTCAGGATTCTTTGATGAATAAAGTAAAAAAAAAACAGCATTTATTTCAAATAGAAATCTTTTCTAACAATATAAGTCTTTATTATTACTTTTGATCAATTTAGCACATCCTTGCTGAATAAAAGTATTCATTTAAAAAAAGAAAAAAGAAAGAAAGAAAAAAAAAATGACTGACCCCAAACTTTTAAACGGTAGTGTATATTGTTACAATTACAAAAGATTTATATTTTGAATAAATGCTGTTCTTTTTAACTTTTCATTCCGCAAAGAATCCTGAAAAAAGTATCACAGGTTCCAAAACAATATTAAGCAGCAAAAACTGTTCCCAGCACTGATAATAAATCAGCATATTAGAATGATGCTGAAAATACAGCTGCGCATCACAGAAATAAATTACAGTTACACACACACACACACACACACTCATTCGCCATGGTATTATCCCAGGAATTATAAAAACTACTGTGGGAGTACCATGGTAAAAACCATTCATGTACCATAGTATTTACATGGTAAGAAAACATTTCAATACTATAAAGTATTACCCAAAAACATACAAACATTGCTGGATAACCATATTTATGACATGTACCATGGTATTAGCATGGAACTCCAAGGCATGTCAGACTACAGCACGATCTAAAGCAGAGTTTCGTCAAAGCACCGTTCATGAGGCAGCTGTCACGCGAGTCTCTGCGGCACTGAACACAGCGCGGCTCTTTACCGTTTCTTGTGTTCTCTCTCGGTGCGCCTCACTGTCCGGTAACGCTTCACAACAGCTTAATTACAGCGGAGTCAATGAACATTAATCAACCCATGCATTAAACATAACTAAACATCTCAGATTAACACATGCACAGACGAACGCGGCAAATGTGGTGTCATCTCATGAATAATTACGCGACTTCGGTAATCATGAATAATTATGGGCGGAGCTCAAACACTTTTGACATGAATGTGTGCGATTATACAAACCTGGCGTCCACATACAAAACATTAATACATATACATTTAATAATAATGTGTGCGTGTATATACTGTATATATATATAGACATAAAAAAATAATAATAAAAACGACAAAAACAAAATCACTAAAGCTTTAATTAAAATGAAAATGGAACATAAAAATAAAAACTAATTAAAATATTAATAAAAGCTATAATAGTATCTCAATAAACCTAAAACAACACACATACAATTACTTGAAATAAAACAAACTTTAAATAAAATATAAAATATATAAAAAAAAACCTCAAACTTATTTTATTTGAGCTAGTTGCCAAGGCAACATTTCTCATCTTCCTTTGTTATATCTATTTACAGAGAAACACATCATGAGCGCTCCGACATGCTGAGAATCAGGCCACATGCAGGTCAGAGAAATATTCATCTGTGTTCCAAACACACTTATGTCACGCTTTACTGCCAGAAGACATCAAGCCAGACTGTTAACAGGCCGAAGCACATGTTTGAAGGGTCAAAGGTCAAGGGTCAAGGGTCGTCTGAACTGCAGCTGCATCGAGACTTTTGCTGAACGATAACATGATGTTTGTTGGGGTTAAAAACTATACTAAAAAAGAAAAAGCTATAGTGAAATAAAATAAAATGCATAAAAATGTATTTTATTTCAGTCAGCTGCCAAGGCAACCTTTCTCATTTTCATTCAATTTTACTTGAATTACTGAAA